GTGGAAAAACAGAGGCAGTTCATTTTAAACAGTTTGCGGTGGTTCAGAGTTATTCCTTGCTGACCTAACGCATCCTGATCATCCTAATTATGACAGAACTAATAACAACCAGAATGCTAACATGCACTTCCTGCTTATTGGACATTAAAATGCTTTATAATTAGATACATACAACACACAGCGGACTTATTTTGACCTCAAGAGCTGCTTATACAGTAAATTTAGACTGAGATAAGACAACACATGCAAAAAACCCCGTAAAAATCTTTAATTGCAGAAGTTGTCAAGTGAGTTACTTAATTTTTTATCTTTAATTTGTAATATTAGTGTGGCTAGAGGAGATGTGTGCTAATATTTCATCATCGAACAATCCATATACAAATTATAATTTCAAAATAATACATAAACAATACAATTATTTTACCATTTTTATTTTTATTGCTATATTTCTATGTTGTTTTTTACTTGTACATATACATTTATATAATGATGCCTGATTAGACATCACTCTCTTGCTATTTCTGCTACTTATTTATTTAATTCTACCTATATATATATATATGTCTTATTTGTTGTGAGCTACTGTGTCCAAATAATTTCCCTTGTGGATCAGTTGTCTAAGTCTAATTATGATTCCAGTAAAGGCTCTATTCACGCTTACGTCACAAACCCGGAAGACGTTTGGAAAGATGCGATGACAACTTCCGGAGGGCTCTGTTTGCAGTAATAAGTCTGACCAAATCTGGGAAAAATTAGAAAATGTCCCAATTTTCTTCATCTACATGTCATTGTAACGCTAATCAGCATTTCCAGCCATACCTCAGTTTTCATCATTTCCCGACTGACATACAACTCCGAGTGCACTGTGTACATGCGATTAGAAGAGACAAGGCGCCAAATTCAAGCTCATTCTAAACAGCACATATGTATGCAGTCTTCATTTTACCGCTGATCACATTTACTTCAGTGGGTTTGATCACAGTCGGTCGGCGAGTCCAGTGTCGGGAACTACACTGGAAGTTGTCATCGCATGTTTCCAAATGTTTTCCTGTTTTGTGACTTAAGCGTGAATAGAGCCTATTTATCTAAGGCTCACTATTTAAAAACTGACATGATTGACAACATCATTACTGGCAAAGGCCCTTGACCCACTGAAAAAGGTCAAAGCCACCAGTTAAGAACAATGTGCTGATCTAAATCTGTCCAAAGGAATTAATGTGGGAGTGAATAATGCATGTCTGATATTTAAAGACGCAATATGTAACTTTTCTCACGGAGGGTGTGCCACTTGTATGACATACATTTACATATAAGTTTAATATCATACTAGGCATAACAGTTCTTTATGGAGACCAGCAAGGACAAGTGGATCCTTCAAAAAAGCTACATTTAATATATTCAACATGTTTCTAAAATATCTGCTTTTGTTTCAAGTCAAAACATCTCACGCGACATACCTGCGTGACTTATTAGAACAGGCATGACCAGTAAAACCAGGGGCCGGGAAACCAGAGATTTGAATACACACTGGGAGCACTGCAGGGCACGGCATTAACCCAGCACACAACGCATTTTACTGTGATCTGAACAAGAATGTGCTCATTACGTCCCCCACGGGCCCTCAGCACAAGCCTGCAGGAGCTGTGCAGAGAGACCGAGAGGCTGACAGGGCCTGGGACATTTACACTGTCACAAAATCAGCCAGCTGAAAAGTGACAACTGCACACTGACAAGTTAATGGTTAAAAATGTGTGAATGAATAGCTTTAAAAGGCAGCTTAGAGAGTATGAAACGAGTGGCACTGGTGCTAGTGTACGTCGAATGAAACAGCTGCCTGCTCTGGTTATCGTAATAAGGCCAGTGCCACATTCAGGCCGTGTTGGATTTGTGGGTGGTGCTGGTTTAGTCTCTGATTGCTTTGTTGCTTGTTACAGTTACTTCAAATACAGTTACTTCAAAATAATATTATACTATTATATAAAGGAGTATAGTCAAGTGATAGTGTAGTCGTACAAAGGTAGTCCAAGAAATGAAAGAAGTATTTGGGGAAACTGTTACAAAATACACCAATAGACAAAAGGTAGGACTTACATTTGGGAGGTAAAATCTAATGTATAATGTAAATTTTATGTAATTAGAAAGACAAAACACTAAATAATGCACAAAACTGCAAAAAAAGAAGAAAAAAGTATATCAAAAAAGTATATCTGAATAAGTACAAATTAGCACAAAACAACTATACTTGATATTGTCAACGTAAAGATTTTCACATAAGGTTAAGGTACACTTTGTTGTCCCCATGGGAAAATTTGTCCTCTGCATTTGACCCATCCTTCAGAGCTGCTGGGGCATCTCCTCAGAAGCAGTGGGCGCGTAGTCATGTGTATGGGGAACCATCTCCATGATCCATATCTGAACTTGAGGATTTCACCTATGGTGCATGTTTTGGGTTGTTGACTTGGTCACTAAGGGAAAAGTAACCACAACTTTTACTCAAGTAAGAGTATTTTGCAATATATGACTCAAATACTCTTAAAACTAAATAAATAAATAAATAACTCAGAGAATTACCATTTTATAAAAAATATTACATTACAAAATTGTACGAGTAACTGAAATTGCACAGTATGTACCACTGACCTTTCATATGTCTTGGCTGGTACTTCCTAGCCTGATTCGTCATCCGGTTTCACTTCGTGGTAACTGTCTGACCTCACAGCATTAGAATTTGCTTGCTCGATGGACGACAGGTACTTTTTTTATTTAACCAATCGCTGCTATTTGGTCGTGACGTATGTAATGTGCTGCTAATGGGACTAACTGGTAAATTAAACTTTTCCCAAATCACGTAGGAAGAAGGGCAATAACATCTTTCCCCTTGATAAAATTCACCAAACATTCTCATTGTTCTGGCTTTAAATCCTCAATCTCAGGAATCGTTGCCAACACAGAATATATGGGTCTTCGCTGATTGGCTGGTGCCCGGACTCGCACTTCCGAGGTTCTTGCAAACCGTCTATTTTATTCCAATTCCTGACATAGTCGTTGGAGAGAAATGAAATTGAGCATCAGCCTGGCTAGGTACTTCCATTAGTTATCCAAACTTATTGAACAACTAGAAATCAGAAATAGAACAGCAACCTTTTAATCTGGATCCCATTATATTTAATTTTTCTTAATGGTTTACTTTTTAAGAACAGCCCGTCTCTATTCTGCATTCATATTCTAAACCGCAGGGAGGGCAGAAAGGCTTGATCTGACCATTGAAGCGAACCTCCTCAAAAGTGCAGCTTCTTTGAAATGAAAAGCGCATTCATTCCCCGCGGACACACATATGGGTGAAATCAATACGTAATGCTTTATGACATGCATATACATAAGGCTTTCTGAAAGATGCCCATGGTGACCCAGAACGCCCATGGTACAGACGCCTCTCTTATCTGCATTTTCAACATTTACACCACACGTGCCTTTACATCCCTCATGGTTTTATGAGCTTGATATGGAATCTGCATAAGGTGAATCATATTTAAAGCTCCTATATTACACAAAATGAACTCTTGTGAGGTTTAAGTAATGTAAGAATGCTGTTACCTCATCAAAAACAGACCTGGAATTGTGTTTTGTTTCATTCACACATATTTGAGTAACCTTTTGTTATTAGTTTGTCTACATCTCCAAAGCTCTAAATGCTCTGTTCCACCTTGTGATGTCATGAAGTAATGGTGGTAGTTTTCAAGTTAACAACTCCCTTTTACCTTTAGCTCAGTTGAGATTGGCTATTCCAGGGCTGAAATCATCCAAATGGTTCTAGGGAAAATGTGTGTAGTTTAAAAACACAGTGGAGCACTTCCTGTATTACTCCATGACATCATAAAGTGGAACAGGGTGTTTTCTGTTTGAGAGAAGAGCGCAGCCTAAATGCAGGGTTTGTTTCTTAATCATGTGTGGAAAAAAAACCAAAAAAACAACTCTATGTACGTTTATCTATCTCTCTACGTTTTTAATGACGAATCAACATTATAACATAGATCAGGAAATAGCATAATAGTTCTTTAACTCAGTAACTGAAGGTACTGCTCTGTCTGAAGCTCTGTTACTCAAATTAGACTACAATCTGAGCTTTGTTTGAACACAATTTGACCTGAACTGATTTAGTTGGAACTACAGCTAGTGAGCAGATCTTGTGCTGTTTAATAACTTTTCACATAATATTACAGTCATAAATCCTTTGTGTATTTTGAGTTTTCAGACAAACTTAAAACTTTTTGTCAGTGCTAATGTATGCTTTGTGTCACCATGGTAACATTCCTCAATACACATACATGCAGAAAAGCCCCAGCATGCAGGGACCTATATAACTATGGGAGATTCACTGTTGAAAGAAATATCCAAACTTGACTAATGTTAAACGTTAACATTACTTGTTAGGGATTGGCCCCACAAAATTGCCACAGTAATCTCATGTCTTAAGTCCTTTTGTGACAGAAATCACAGCCTATTGTGTAGAATAATGGCACCACCTTTTGTCCTGTGTGCTGACAGAGAAGATGTTACCCTTTGTGCTGGTTTTGTTTCATGTAGATAATTACAGCAATTACAGAAATATTAATATTATTAACCAGCAAATCATGTCAATACATTTGCAATCTGATAGGTAAACAGCAAATTTCACCACAGACTTCTGACCTGCCCTAAGTTTATTGAATGTTGTAGTTGAGTAACTTGAATAACAGAGCTTCAGACAGAACAGTGTCTACAGTTCATGACATCAGCTGCAAAGTTTCTATACTGTAATATATTTTCTGGAGTTGAGGAAGGAATGTCAGAAAAGAGGTTAGCGAGAGTGCTATTAAATAAGTGATTGGCTGACAGGCTGTGAAAAGGTGACAGGTCACTGAAGGTATTCACGTTAAAAATAGTATTGAAATAACCCTCAGTTTCAGCTTTGTTACAATTAAGAATACAAGTCTTACACGTCTTTGTCCTATGTCTTTCAGATTTTGTCCTCACCGCAAATGGAGCTGTTTTTGAAAATCACCGCCACCCTTCTTCTCCTGGTCTTCACCTTCCACCCGGTGCTTGTCCAGGAGACCACCGTCACTCCTGCAGTCCCAGAGACCACTGACACTCCGCGGCGGACCATTGCAAAGGAATGGCTCAGAGATAAGCTTCTCCCAAAGCCCTCTGACCCTGAAGCAAACGAATCGCCTGGAAGCGGTGACCAGGTAGAACAAAGTGGTGCGGAATCAGGCAATGACTTGAGTGGGACCGCTTCTGGATCTATGTACTATTCAGACTCAGAAAATGTGAACGATACTATGGAATACACAACCCAACCTCCAACGGTTTTAAATGAGACTACCTTGGCATCGGAAAATCAGGGCACTAATTCTTCAGCATCAGCAGAATTGGAGACCAGTGACAAGAACATCACCAGTGTCAATACAGACAACTCCACAACTATATCAGAAAATACTGACAAAGTTGCTCAAAATTCAACAAATGGTTCAAACAGCACAACTGTACAAACCACCACTGCAGTTCCAGAGAGGGAAACGACGACATCAGGCGTGATCTTAAGCAGCAGCACGGAATATAAAGAGACAACAACTACAGGAGTGGTCAAACCAGAGACCACCACGCAGGAGACCATCTGGCAGGAGTCTACCACATCTGTGACTCCACCACCTGAGGAAACCACCACACCCATTTTGGAGAGCACCACAGCTGCTCCCGTCACTCCAGATGAGGCCAACCTCTCAGACAAGGGGGCTGCAGGGTCCGGTGAGACTGCAGAGAGAGGTGAGGGCAAAGGAAAGGGCTTGTGCCTCAATTCAATTCGTTTAATTGGTCAAATATAGAGGAAAATCACTGTTTATGAAATTAGAGAGTCACTTCTACTTCGGAGTTCTGTAGAAACTAAAGGAACTTAGTATTGTAATGGGAATTTAAAAAGTTAAGAACGCTAGAACTCGAAGAAACTTCTAAAGTTTTAAATTTTTATTTCCATTGTGTGCCCAATTGAGGTTGATAAAGGCTATAAATAATACTGCGTTCATTTATCCATCTGACTCGGAGGCTGTTTTCATTGTGTTTGGTGGTTTAAATGACAATTTCAGTCAGTCGTATTGCTGCATTATCTTACTGCGTCTGTATTGCTGCAGTACCTTACTGCGTCCGTATTGCTGCAGTACCTTACTGCATCTGTATCACTGCCTATGGGTTTGGTAGTCGATGTTGCCCATGTTTTTAGCTAATGCCAAAAGGATCTACTGTCATCAACACTTTCACTTCACTAATATACTAAATTATAATTTATACTGAATTCTTCTTTGAGGTTGTGTAGTTGAAGCACAGACTTATTTTGGAGTGCTTGGTACTCAGCCAATGCTAAAGCAACAACAGCTTTATAGTTAGCGTCCATTTTTTTCTCTGAGTTGAAGTGCCGATGTGATGTCATATCCGAGATCTGAGTTAATTGAATACATGTAGGACAGTGTAATTCCATACTGTGGAACATTGAAGACAAAGCAATAACATCTCATGTAGACAGACAAATCCTCCATTTGAACCCCACCACCTCTTAAGGTCAAAATAAGTCTGGCACGTGCTGCTTGTATCTAAGTACAAAGCATCTTATTGTCTGGTGATCAGGAAGTGCGTATTAGCATGCTAGTTGTTGTTAGTTTTACAGTCTTTTTAAAACTCCACTCTGGTCTCTGAGAGGTGTAAAAAGTGCTCATGAACTCATCACACTTGTTCAGAATACTTAAGGTAAGTGAGGAATAACTTTATAACCACTGCAAACTGTTTACGATGAACTAGTTCTGTTTTTCATGTTCTAACACGGTAAATATCAGGTGTAGCACCTTTAATAGCTATGGATACAGTACTGATTTGCATCCCAGCGCAGACATTTTTCTAATTTTAGTACATGAAGCTAAAACACAACAAGAATAACAGTATTTCTTCCCTCTAAAAGCCTGAACTTTGTGAAACAGCAGAGTCATTGCAGGCTGAAAATCTATCTCCCCCAGTAACCTCACACCAGCGCCCCAAGCACACACACACACACACACACACACACACTCTTATATTGTTGTGTCTCTCATACACCCTTTCCCTGACCCACATTCCCCCCGTCGGTTCCCACTGGCTCTGCACAAACAGCCCTTCTGTCAATGCAAAGGTTGTCTTTGGTTTCGGCCGCTATCAACGTGTCAGCTGTGAGCGAAGGGCCGCCTCACCACCACCTTCTCCGCGGGACAATGGGAGCCTTTTTCAGTCGAGGGGGCCGCTGAAAAGAGGTGTCCCAGGACGGGTCAACGATACGGGGGCTTTCAGAGAGCAGGGCGTGAGAGCACTTCTGTACAATCCACGTGCAGATCTCGGGGACATGCGACGGAAAGGCCAGATAGGCGGCTAGCTGTTAAAATGGTACAAATTCAGCTTAGCAAATGCACAAAAGGCCGGTCGTCTCAAATGCGTGCTGAGAATGAGGCAGCCCTATTTAGCAGCTGTTCAAAGAGATTCAGGGCTGGGCTGCGGATCATTTGGTGTAATTTGATTAGGTCAACTGCTGCTGATTCTGTGCCCTGCGTGACAACAGAGCTTCTGTCAGGTTATTGACATGATCGCAAAGATTTATATGAAGAGCAAGAGTCTGTTTCTTCATCACAAACAGACCTGGAGTTGTGTTTTGTTTCACACATAAACCCTAGATATTTACGCTGAGTTCTTCTTTCAGACTGAAAACACTGTCTGAATAAAAGGTAAAAAGTAGTAGTTGGAGCTGTAGATAGACTAATAATAAAGGATTACTGTATTTTTCTGACTATAAGTTGCTCCAGAGTATAAGTTGCACCAGTCAAAAAATGAATAGAAAGAAGAAAAAACATATATATGTCACACTGGACTATAAGTTGCACTTTTTGAGAGAAATTTATTTTACAAAATCCGAGACCAGGACCGACATTTCATCTTGAAAGGCAAGTTATAGTAATAATCATGCTCTGTTCAGGCTTTGTGGATCCATCCAATGATGAAAGTTGCATGGTGCACCCTCCTGGTTTTTTGCTCAGTCCAAACTATCTTGCTGCTGCTCGATTACCGTTTTCGGCTGCATATTTTGCTACTTGCCGCATGTAATCTGCAAAATATGACTTTCTTTTTGGGGGCATTTGTGTTTCAGTCTTCTCAGTGTCTTTATAAGTTTGTTTAAATGTTAAATTTTTTGTGGTAAGTATAGTACAGTATAAATCACAGGACCAACCAAACCATGAGAAAAAGTATAGTTATATACATATAGTTTGAAAAATACGGTACTCAAACAAAACACAACTCTGGGTATGTTTTTGAGGAGACAACATTCTAACATGGCTAAAAGTTCACAGGAATCAATTTTGCGTAATATAGGAGCTTTAGTAATAGTTGATAATAAATAAATACTATACATAATGGGTGACCAGATTTGTAATTTGTAGTTAAGGTAAATTGTTCTGCACTCGGCACTAACGTGAATCAGTATAGTCACATTTTCTTTATGTTTTGATCATTTTAAAGCAGCGTTTCTGTATTTTACCAAATCAAATGACAATGCATGCCTCTCTTTACTGTTGGCAGGGATCAAATTGGTCAAAAATAGCAACACCATCGATATTTCTTGTATAAAACTGGGACAAATCACTGATTTTGAATAAATCTGCTAGGAGGGGACACAAGGCTAAAAACTGGGACTGTCCCAGGTAAATAGTGACATCTGATCTTATACTACACGTAATTTATAAAACTAATTATAAAGTGACCAGGCACGTTTAGTTGAAAAGCACAATTCATACACAAAATCATTCAAATTGCGTTGTCTTTAGTTTCAGGGAGACTGGTTGACATTACATTTCCATTTTGCGTGTGCCATAGGTTTATGTAGACAGAATATTTGTTCCTTCTCTATGTATCCTGTGTGTCTCAGTAAAAAAAAAACCCCGCATACTTGCACCATATACAGGCACGTTATAATAAGCAATATGAAGGGCTGTCAATCATAAGAAAATGTTTTATTTTAGTAACTCCTCTGATAAAAACAATTAAAAATATGTTTTAAACAAGACAAGAACAGTCCACCAGTTCTGATTTGCGTTCTCTGTTCAGTTAAGCAGATACAATCCTAGCGCTTTCTGCTGGTATTTTCTATTAACTTTCATGACAACAAGGTCTGATATTATTTCTAGTTATATAACAAGGAAATACAACCAACGCTGCCCAGAAAAAGCTCTATACAGGACCCTTAACAATGACATTTGCTGTGGAAATTGATCTTCCAGGACAAACGTATCATAGTTTGCCTCTCCTGTAAAGTTCCTTCAGTCTTCCTTATTCACTTTTGATTCTCAGGCCTTGATTTACAGTGCTGTCCTCTATAGTATGGATTTGGCAGCACCGCTAAGGGCCCTTTCACACACCTGCTGAGTGGAAATCCCCTTCAAGTTGGATGTGATTGTGCTCAAGCTCACTGTGAGAGTGTGAGTCAGACAGGAGCGCCGAATATTGTAGAGTTTGTTTTTCTTAGAATTACTTTTTACTTCCGTCTCTGTTCATGCACGTGTACAGTCTAATTATAAGTTTTGAAAGTTATATTTGCAGTTATTCCTCACTTACCTTACACATTGGGAAACACCCTAATTATTAACCGTGATGGGTTTATGAGCACTATTCACAGCTCTTAAAGATCAGAGTGGAGTTTTGTTAGCCAGGCTGGTGCCACCTAGTGTCTCCACCTAATTTAATTTCTTTCCAGCGACTAGGTCAGGAATCGGAATACACTAGATGGGTCACAAAAACCCCAGAAATGCAAGTTCAGGCACCAGCCAATCAGCGAAGAGCCATGTATTCTGTGTTGGGAGATCGAGGATTTAAAGCTGGAATAAAGAGAATGTTTGGTGAATTTTTATCAAGGGGAAAGACGTTATTGCTCTTCTTCCAATGGGATTTGGGAAAAGCTTGATATACCAGTTAGCCCCGTTAGCGGAGCTTTACATATGTCACGACCAAATAGCAGCGATTGGTTAAATAAAAAAAGTACCCGCCTACCGTCGAGCAAACGAATTCCAACACTGCGAGGCGATGGTTTCTATGAAGTGAAACCGGCTGATGAATCAGTTTTGTAGTCCCACTAAAGCAACTAGCATGCTAACACTCACTTTTTGATAAGATGGCAATAAAACACTTATGCAGACAGTTCACAGCAGACTTATTTTGACCTCAAGAGCTGCTCATACAATACATCTGACACATTTTGCTCCAATACAAGGGGAAAAATCTGGTACCTCGTTTTTAAGGTTTCTTAAAGACCTCCTTTTTTGCAGTATTGTGCTCTTTTTTGTGACAAAAGCAAAGGAGAAATTCAATCTGTCAACTGGGCAAAAGTTTTTTGATTGAAAACGTTTTGCAGCTCATCCAAGCTGCTTCTTCAGTTCTGGTCAGAAGAGAAGAAGCAGAAGAAGAAGCAGCTTGGATGAGCTGTGAAACGTTTTTGATCAAAAAACTTTTGTCCAGTTGACAGAATTGAATTTCTCATTTGCTATGGATCCCATCTGAGTGACTGAGGGATTACACAAACATCTTTTGTCTGAGAATTTTGTTTCATAGCTTTGAAAATAAGTAAAGTTATGAATTTATAACCTCATGACAGATTGATGAGTGTCAAGAGAAGGTAAATTGCATGCAGATATGACCAGTGGTGGATGTTTGTGGATTTCTAGAAACAAAGAAAAATAACTTCCAGACATGTTTTGATGAATAAAACA